TTTCTTCAGGACCAGATGCACCATCCTGTAATAGTTCTGAGTTCAGTGTGGCATATTCTGTCCACTGAGCTGATTCCAGTGAACTCTAATAATAACTGGAAGGCTAAGTCAGGGGGGGAAGTTGAAGCCGTGCTTGAAGCTTTTTTTGTAGGTAGACCCAGTCCTTTTTAAATTTTTTTTTCAAAATATGCACATTTTTTGATCAGAAAAATCTTGCCCCAAAATATTAGTTATACTACCAAATTTAATTTATATCAGTAGTATTATAAATGAATTTAATATTCGCAAAGCAAACATAACACGAATTAGCAAAAAAATGCGAAAAAACACGACCATAAGCATGAACGGTCCGAAAAACCGCGCGTTTTAGGCTGCTTTTTCTGAGTTTTTGGAAGTTTAAGATAAAACTAAGACGTCACACCTCAGGAATTTTTTATACCCATGCAAAATACATCTGTATGCGAAGTTTCAAGAAGATTTAACGTTTTAAGGTCGAAAAAAAAGCATTTGAAAATTGACAAAAATATTGCCATATTCAAAGTGCTCATAGTGGCCAACAAAATGCCGATGACGAAAATAACATCACTTGAAAAACGCCAATTTATTTATGTTTAAGAGCGACTAAAACAAGGACTAAAAGGTTTAAATTTAAATTAAATTAACCTGGTTTAAATTCCAATCATTGTTGTATTCCCATGGAAAAAGTGTTTTTCTTGCAAATTTTTGCACGAAAACAAACTTTTGGCAGAATTTTTTTCACTCCTCGAAACTCTCCTTAGTCTTTTTGAAAGCTGATTTTCCCGCGCGCCGGCTTCAACGAATCATAGACTTTGATCATAGGAGTTAGCCTTCCAGTTATTATTAGAGTTCACTGGCTGATTCTGTCACTGGAGCGTGGTCACTGAGCTCTACTACTATATCACTCCAGTTCTATGTACAGGTCAGGGGGGTGGCTACGCTTGATTGGAAATCTGGAATGGCTTCGTTCAAAGGAAAGGAAGGAACCTCTTGTGAAGAAGCAACAGCCTTGCAAGAGACAGAAACCCTGGTAAATAATGGCCAGAACCATGCTAAAGCTCCTGTAAAAATGGATGGGGCTAAAAGCTCCAAATACGAGAGTTTATGCAAGATAATTGCAGTCATCATTGTTGTTGTGGCTTTCGTATCGCATTTGCTACGTGGCGCACACGAGGGTAGGTTTTCTCGAGTCTTCTATTTCATGTTCTGTTTTCATGCCTTGTTGCATTTTGAAATGATATCTCTTGTTTCCTTCCACCTTGAAGTTGGGCAAGGCTAATATTTATAAGTGATTGTTTGAGATTTGTTTCGAGTCTTAATTCGACCTGTTAAATATTAACGTGATATGTCTGACCGTCTGCTTCCTGAGAAACTGTCAAACGTTGTAAATAAAAGGAATTTTTGAAGAAAGATACACGTGCAGCATCGTTCTTCAAAAAATTCCTTTTATTTTTGCTGTGGTTATAATTTTGTCTGACACCAGATCCAAATATGTACATGCTATTCATCTGACAAAAATGTTTCCCTCATTGCTAGGGATACAACTATAACAGACAGCTCAAGATTAATTCCTCGGTAGTCAAGTGGTTTTATGGCCAGGGCCGTAGCAACCGGGTGGGGGGCAATAATTTGCTAATAATCATTTGTTTTTCTAAATCATGCAGACTTTTATCATTAATCCATGAAAAACTGCAAAGAATGAAGATATTACCCATACTTTCTTGCAACTTATCCAATATATAGTTAATTAGATATGCCTTCGCCCATTTAGTACTACTAAATTGTAAATTTCGACATACTAAAATGCTGTTTTGTGACCATCAGAATTCTATCAAATCTTCCCCAAAGTCCAGAGACTCTAAATTTAAAAATTTCCTTGGGCCTTCGGCCCTCGCTTTCAGTCCCCCCAATCGAAAAGAGCTTCCTACGGCCCTGATGCCTCACCCCCATTTCCAAAACTAGTAGAGGTGCACCCCCCAGTAAACCATCCCTGCATGTGCTAACATCTCACCCCCCCCCCACCCTTTGCCAATATTAGCACAATAATTGTGACACATTTTCTCTAGGAAGTGGCAGTTGTACACATCTTTTGACAAAAGGAAGATGGAGGGAGGGACTTGGAAAAGAGATATGGCAGCCTTTTGGTTGCATGATGCATCAATATCACATGAAGTAATTTGAAAATGATATAATTACATGTTCTATAATATCACTTGGAATTCAGTTCTTTCTGACAATAGACATTTAACTCATTGAGTGCCAGGGTACTGTCCTCAACAAGTTAAATATTGGACTAGAGACTGTGCAACTTGATGGTCTGGTTAACTATAGGCATGGGTAGAGTCTAATTATCTCATTGAACGTCAGTACTCTTCCCTTCATGAGTAACATTGTCTGGCATTACTATTAGACAGAGTAGAAATAAAGTATTGTAATGTTTATTAGGGTGTGCGTAATATAGAACTTTATGGGTTAACTAGACACATGGGTAGATAGTTTGATTTACTTGTATTGAGTGTCAGCACTTTCCCTTTGACAATAAAATGATCTGGGTTACACAAAGTTAAATAATAAAGTAGGGCGTACATTGGAGTGATATGAAATTCAACGGTTAATACTAGATCACATGAGTGGATAATCTGATTAACAATAACCTTACAGTAATGACCAATCTCATTGTTGTTTTAATTTAGGGAGATTCGAACGTGTCTGCAAAACCGACCGCTGGCTTTTGTGGGTGATTCAAGATTAAGAGATGTTTATAATTTGTTGCTTCATGAACTAGCTGGAACAGATGAAGAAGCAAACAAAAAAGCTGTATGAATAAATGTGCACTTGTCTCTTATTGTACAGTAAACCTTGCCTCTCTGTTAAAATGAATTGCCATAATTTTCATGTGCCTGAATGGCAAACATAATACAGCTTGATGAGCGAGCATGGAGCCAGGCACCTTTAGGTTCAGGAATTTGGGTCTCCTATAATTTGTAAACTCTGAGTTAGTAATACAAAGTCATGTAAAAGTAGAATCATTAGGTGAGACTTTCTTTATTTATTGGTTTACGGATTTTACTTTAAAAAAAAAACAGGTCAGTAGGTTGGAAAAAAATTAAAAAAAACATTGTTTTTCAAGATTGTCACAACGATACCATGAGCCAAAGAGTCAAAGTTTACTTGGCGTGAACTTTGTGTCAGAATCCCAAATGAACTAAAATCATAAAGTTGTTGACATCCAAATTTTTTTTCAATTTCTGAATATTTATGGTTGGCGGATCCGTAAACCAATAAATAAAAAAAGTCTCACCTTATGATAACAATTTTCCTTTGTTTTTACAGCACCGCAATTTGTCATATACTGGGGAAAACAATGTATCAATAGTAAGCCGAAAGTTTATATTTATATCAAAACTGTAAAATGAGTTGTTTTAAATTAAGGTTGGATATATTTTCACATGTGTTTTACATTGAGTGCCAGCACTTACTGTCCTTAATTAATGAGTAAAATCTTCTGGCATTAGACACAGTAAATTAATAATAAAGAAGGCTTCATGCATCATGATGGCACATTGCAACTAAGGGACCGGTCATAAAGTAAAAGGGGGTTGGGCTGGGAAAAATAGGAAAATAGGAGGTGGGTCACTATTTTTGAGCACAGTTGAAGGGGTGGGTCATCGAAAGTTAAATGCAATCATAAGGGTGGGCCATGTAAAAATATGCAGAAGATTGGGCCCCAGTCGGGTTTTTTTGTGTTAAAAATTTCCGATATCTGTTTTTTGGGCTAAGTAGCAAAACAAATTTTTTCTGGAAAAAATTGGAAAAGGGGTGGGTCATAATTTTTCAGCACCAATACAAGGGTGGGCTACAAATTTTCGTGCAGCTATTAAGGGGTGGGCTACGTACCAAAAGTGCAGACAAGAAATATATGATTTTCCCAGCCCCCTCTCCCCCCCACTTTACTTTATGACCGGTCCCTAAGGATGAAAAGGTCACCAATCATGATTGTAATATGATCCATAAGTGATGAATTTTTTGACTTGTAGAACTTCTTTTGGATGCCAGAAGTGAATGCATCAATGGAATACTTGTTTAAGCATTGGCTCAAGGTATAATTTTTACTCTTGACTCACTTTGTAACATTGTACTTGTACTATTTTACTCTAATTTCTTTTTCACTTTTTTATAGCATTCAGTGGGTCGACCAAGTTTCATTGTGGCTGGGGCGTCATTGGTAATTTTGCTATAAATCATTCACACTTTATTACCCAATATGAATTATTAAATTTTGATATTAAAGTTTATTCAATTAACAATTAAGTTTCCTCCATAAATTGTTCTTTTTCTAGTGGACAATCAAGAATAGAGATAATGCTTTGCAAGAATACAAAGGTTCGCCACAAAACATCGTACTAACATTACCTGCATTAACCTATTAATTAATGCCCAACATGTTCATGAGATAAGCAAGTTGCCTGGTTAACATTTGTTTGACATTTAAGTCAGAGAGTAATATATCGCATAGAAAACTTCTGATTGATAGGGAGGGCTACTAAGGGGCGGACCATTAGAAAAGTGATGGGGGGGGGGCAAAAATAAAAATTGCGCAGGGAAAAACAGAAAGAAAGAAAAAAATTGTGTGCCAAGAAAGTTTGAAAAAAAATTTGTGCAGAGACTTTTCAATAGGGAAAATTATATATAAGGTGAAATAAAAAAAAAATTGTGCAAGGATTAGGGATTATATTTTAAAAAATTATTGACACAAGCAAAAAATTTAAAGTTTGAAAACAAATTTGTGCTCCAAAAAAGTTTGAAAAAAAATTTGTGCAGAGACTTTTCAAAAGGGAAAATTATAAGGTGAAATAAAAAAAATTTGTGCAAGTATTAGGGATTATATTTTAAAAAATTATCGACACAAGCAAAAAATTAAAAAAAAAAATATTTGTACAAGTTAAAAAAGTCCCCCCCCCCATCACTTTTCTAATGGTCCGCCCCTAACTTCCTGACAAAGGGCTTTTGCTTGAAAAGTTGAAGTAATTCAATCTCCTTGTATTTTTCAGGTAGTTGTATCCCTATCAATCCAAAAGTTTTGTTACTATCAGTACTATACCTACAATGGCACAGATCTTTCAATAATACTGCATGCATTCAATGGGTTAAAGTTGTGTTTCATTGTAATTCTGTGTTGTAGCGAACTTCACACGAGTCAAAGACGTGATGAACGCACTTGGCACTGTGAATGATGGAGAGTTTGAAAAAATGTTGAAAGCTTCGAAAGCATTGAAGATTAAAGTGAACAGAGATGAATTTCCAAAATCTCCTGTCGTTGCCTGGAAATTGCAAGGTAAATGAACAATGGCAACAGCAACCAGAACAATGGCAACAGCAACCAAGTTTGCTTATGCATCATCAATTTTGCAGCG